CGGAGCGCCGGCCCCGAACTCCAGCCCCCACAGTGCACGGCCGGGCGCGGCGGGGGGACCGCCCCCCAACCCCGGAGCAGCGGGTTTCATAGAAGCATTGCATCGTTCGCTTGGAAAAGCCCTTTAAGTTCATCAAGCCCACCCCTACCCCTGCCATCCCACCCCCAAACCCTGGCCCTAAACTCCTCGCCTGCCCGGCTTTTAAATCCCCCCAGGGGTGGGGACTCGACCCCTTCCCTGGGCAGCCCCTTCCAGTGCCTGACAGCCCTCTCAGTGAAAAAAATAAATCAGGAGCATTGCATTCTGAAGGTCCCTGTTTCTTCCAACAGCTGTATAAAGAGCCCAGAGTAATCGCCTCGGATATAGATTATTACTGGGTACACACTTGAGTTGGGTGGGATAAACGCCACCCAAAGATCCTGGTTAGCTACACGAAATGTTCTGTAGGTAGGAAAATCAGCCACCTGCAATCCAAAAAATAAATGTAGTGCGTTAGCTGTGCATGAGAACAGCACTGAACGCAGCTGTCATTCAGCAGTACACCACGACTTCAGTGCATACAGATGCTGATATATCGATGTATTTTCTCCCTCTATCCCGGGTTGGCATCTGCTGAAACCCTTTGTGAAAAATATTAGTGAGTCATCTCAACCTTCAGTTTTTCAGCCCTGGGAGCCCAGTTAAGCCCACGGGCAGGCACCTCAGTTTCTCTCCAGGCTGCAATCCCACCGGGGCGGGTGAGAATTGCTGGCACTTAGCCCTTCCTACTCGCTCCAAGGTCAGACCACAACGCACAGAGAATAATCTTTTCATTTTTTTATTTGCACAACAGAAAAGCCGCTCCTGGCTTTTTTTTTTTTTTAAATTCTGTACGTGACTGACTTGTTGTGTTGCCAACCTCTGTGATTCCGCTGTGATTTTTTTTTAAGGGCTAGAAACGTTTCCTTTTGTTTTCCCTGGCATCGGCGCACCAGTCTTTGAACAATGGGGTGGTATTTCCACAAAGACTTCTATTCCAGGCTTATCTCAGCGCGGTGAGGCCTCGCCTTTCTGCACAGAGCGGGTGACTGGCTGTAAAGAGCAGCACGTGGTTGCCGTACCGTCGCTCGGTGTTTCCAGCGAGCTGGCCACGATCTTTCATGCAAGTTACACAAATCCCACCGGGACGGGGAGCGTTAGTCCAGAAGTTAAGTACGGGGCGATAAACCCGTTTGTATCCTCACAGCAAGGGCTGGTGGCTTTGGCTTGAAACCCATCTTGCGGTGCACCTGCCTGGAGGAACGCAAACGTTTCTCCTGACAGCTGATGGGGCTTCCTGGTAGCAATTTATCTGAACCTGCTGGCGAGTGGCAGTGAAGGCAGGGAAATCTTTCATTTCTGCTGTGCTGCGCCTTGCCTGCGCACATAAAGGCGGCGGCGAGCATTTTAGAAATGGATTTTCTTTAAGTTTCAGCACCAACCAGCTCTGTTTGCAAACGGCTCAAAGTCCCTTTGTAGGAGCCCGTGTTTGTCCGGTGCCAAAGCCTCTCCGGGAGCCAACGCTCATCCTCTCTGCTTGAGGACAGAGGGAGGCGCTTGAACCTGCTTTGTTTGAGCAGACATCTTGCTTGTCCAACAGGGCGGTAGCTGCAAGGTGTTGGCCCTAGCGAAATGCCACGCTGACAACTGGAGTAGCTCGGGCCATCAGGCTGGTAAGGGTGGCTGCGTGATTCCGGGTGCTGAATTCTGCATCTGCGGCTGGAATTACATGTTAGGAAATTACACGGTAGCTGAGATGACAGCTTGCTATTGACAAAAAGGGAAGATCCTGCTCCTGACTCCCTTCACCCGCCATCCACGCTCAACCTGGGTACAGACCTTATGCTGGCTCTGCCATTCCTCTGACCCTGTGCTGCTTCACCTTGCCACCCAGGCAAAAAAAAAAAAAAAAAAGCAATTTCTTTTTGCCAGATGAGTGAGGTTGAACCGGCTCAGCTAAACTTAACATACGACAGCTCTCTGAAGGGGAGTTTTCCAACTGGCTTAAGCTGCTCTGGTCTACGACAGCACTGTCCCCAAAAAGGAGCTTTCCCGCCCATCACTTGCCTGCTTTTTCTGAAAGGTCAAGCGACCAACACAATCAAGGTCAGTCTTCCTTCACACTTCCAGAGGAAGGCAGCGAGATCAATCAGTGGGGAGTGGGAAGGCTGTAGGACCATCTTCTGTGGGAGACTGAGGCCAGCTTAAACCTGTTGCAAATGTGCGTGCTAACCTGAGTGAAGGGCTAGTGAAGGCACAGCAGCCTCTGGGTGTCAGCTGTGTTTATCCAATTAACTGTATGCCTCTCATTTGGCACGAACCAGCTAAAAACTAAGACCTATGAAGGTAAAACTACCAACACACTGGAGAAACCAAGGGGAAGATCGAGCATCTCCAACTCATCTTTCCAGGTAAGCTCTCTTTCTGGTTGGCAGCCGCTCTCCAACCCGTCATGTCCAAGAAATTACATTCCTGCCACCTAACTTATCCTGCGAACTCCAGTTCAGTCACATTCCTTCTGAACACCACCTACATCACTGCTCACCTCTGGTTCGATCTGTTGGATGAAGAATTGCTTGGTTTTATTCTGCTTGTGCAAAGCTGTCGGCAGGGGTGCTGGTATACTGGTGGCAACATACGCAGCTTTTTATGGTCTGAAGTCTCCTGGGGGAAAAGGCGGGCTACAGGAGATCGTTTTGCAGGGGACTAGGGATGGCCCTGGGTACAGGGCAGCCACGAGGTGGCACGCTGGGCTTTTGCTGCTGCGCCTGGCTGCTCTGAGAGCAAGTTATTCAAGAAAAGCAGGCAGATCTTCAGCGGAGTTACATAAAAGAGCATTCCGGTTAACATCCATCCATCCATCCTGCAAGAACAGGCTTTGATTTCCACATAAACGGTCGGTCAGATTTGAAGTTATTGTCATATGATTGAAATAGATCTCTTATGTCAGTCAGTCAAAGCAGAACGGCGAATGTGAGTCATGCTTTGCAAAAAGCAGGAAGTTTGGGGGCTTTTTTGGCACAAATTTTTAATACAGAAAGAAAATCATACAGCTGTATTGCCATGTTTGTCTTAAGGATTTTTGAATAACGTTGTCCATGCCTCAGAGAAATGTTTCCAAAACAGAAGAGTAAGAGCTTTTAGATTATGATTGTTATTCCCTATGCCACAGTGGTAAGGCATCTAGGAGTCTAGAAGAAAACGCAGGCTCTCGTGAAAACTGTTAGAGCCCCCCTAAAATAAAAGGCTGCAGCGGGAACACTGCTGATCTGGGGCGGGGGGGTGGGAGGAAAGACAAGAACATGAGGTAATACTCATGGGTGTGATAGGGATGCTTGCACAAGGCTGTTACTGTTTTGCCTTAAGCGTAATAAACCTTCATGAACCAGCACGAAGGGAGAAGCGCAAGTCTACTCGTGAAGCATTCCGATATTCCGAGCCCTGCTGGGGTCTGTGGTTACCGCGTGTCTGCCTCTAAGCCCCTGGAATAAGTAGTGGGACAAGAGGTTAAGTTACTGGGAAAAGCATGGCACAGAACTAGTTTTTCTGCACAGTCTGAAAATATAA